TGTTACAATAAAGAAGGATTAATATGTATTTAATTTATACAGTGATGTTATTTTATATTTGTTTACTTTATTTCTGTACCTGAAAACTGTTAAACCTATCTAAAAAGCACTGTTTATTTAGTATGTATCTTTGTTCTGTTGTATTTATGTAGGCCTGCTGAATGTTAAATCCAACCCATGTTCATTAGAAATTATTTTATAATGCAGCAATAAATCTGCTAGCATAATTTAATGCAGGTGTTTTTGAACGTTGCTGATTTAAAACATGATCAAAATACTATCTATTTTGATCCCAAAATTTCAAATAAGAGAGGAAGTGACAAATATCGGTATCGGAATCGGCCAATAAGTGATTGTTAAAATCGGTATCGGCATCTGCCCCAAAAATCCTATCGGTGCATCCCTAATTTTGGATTATTTACAGAAAAAAAGCTCTGTGATTAACAAAAGTAATGACTGTCACACATTTTGTTCCTGATGATAATGTTTTGTTCAAATTTGATGAATTTTGAAGTCTAAATAAATCACCAGATTTAAGCCAAACATTGGTGTGGCAAGTGGAGTTGTCACGATTTCCACTGAGGACCTCCTGAAGGATGTAAGGAGGAGTGAGCACAGTTGAGGGAGAGAAATGACCAGGCCTGGAACATTTTATGTTTTGTGTGTGCGTCAGTTGGCTGTGAGGTGGCTGCTGCTCGTTATGTTTGAGTATTTTTAATTTGTGAGATTGTATGTTTAATTTGAACTGTTTGCCTCCTTTTTCTTCCCATATCAACGAACTTCAACATAGTTGGCTATAAACAAACTACACTACAGTTGCTTGAGTTTAGTGTCACCATCATGAAGCCACTGACAACTCTTTCAGTCTTTATTTAAACAACGTTTTCCCTAAAAGTTTGAGTTAGAATGATGTTTAAGGTCCCCGACAATCTCTGTGGTCCCTTTTAGGCCACTTGTTTGCGACTTCCTTTTTAAGACAAGTTAAACCATTAAAAAAAAAAAAACCCCAAGGGGTATTATTGATGTATTTTATGTCGTAGAATAAGACATGAAAATATCTTGAGCTTGTGTTAACCACAGACTTCATTTTAGGAATTATTTTAGGGAAAAAACTTGTCTTCAGAATGATTGAACTCGTTTCTGAGTTTTGGCCTACAAAAATGTGTGATCCAAGCAGCATTCTTAAGGATTAAATGCTTAGTCTGAACAATGTAAATAGCTGAATTTGTTTTTATTTGTGCTTTTTTTCGCTCTTGCAGCTCTTACAGTGATCTAAGCATTAATACACTGTACTGTGCAAATATTTTATAGCTCACCATATCAGTCTTAACTTTTGTCTTTTGACACGGCAGCTTTTATCAGGAATATACGGCACTTGTTCAAACATGTGGATCTGGGTAACAGTGACCCTGACACAAAATCTCTGGTTAGCGCATTAGTCAACCTCATTGAAGACCCTGACCAGGACGTCCGCATAAAATTTGGCCTAAATATCAAGAATCTTCTAGAGTTTTGGAATGGAAATGGCTTCCTAAAAGAGGTACAGTTTTAAAGTTCAGATTATGACATGCTAACCATCATCACCTTTTTGGCACTTGATGTCATTCATTAAGTCATTTAGCAGATGCTTTTATCCAAACTAACTAATGGATGTATTATGATTTTGATTTTCACAGCTTCTTGTGTCCAGACTAAAAGAAGCTTACACAAATGCAAAGACCTCCAGAAACAATGAACTCAAAAACACACTCATACTAACCACTGGAGAAATTGGGAGGTAGTGCAAAATGCTTTTTTTTTGCTGCTATTTTAGTATATATTGATCCTTCCTGCTGTTAAAAGTGTTTAAATCATCTATCAACAATGCATTTCTTGCTTATGGTGGTTCTCAGAGCTGCTGAAGGGAACCTGGTGTCTTTTGCTCTGCTTCGTCTTCTGCACTGCTTGCTGTCCAAGTCTAATCCTGTGTCGGTAGCAGCCTACACCGAGATCCAGGCTTTGGCCACCTGTAGACACCTCAAACTGCAGTCCTTCTTCAACCAGTACAGGAACCCAATTTGCCAGGTCAGTGTGCAGTTTTGATACTGTGATGATGTTATCATTATTTATAATGCTGTGCATTTATGGGGTGTTATATGTATCAACGTGAGTACCAACGTAAGCTGTTTATCACCTTCAAAAAAGCTTAAAAACTATGAGCTAGGAATGGAGAACAGTGTTTGTTCAGGTTAAAAACAAACTAAACTTTGTGGTCAATCAAATTCACCTAGAGTAATAAAATGTAATGGGTCTACCTTTTTGTTTATTGCAGTTCTTGGTGGAGTCTTTGCATTCACGTCATGTGACGGCTCTGCGCTGCACGCCAGATCAGAGCAGCGAGGCTCTGCAGGAGGAGGCGGCCCATCAGAGAGAGCTGGCACTGGACATCCTGTCTCATGTGGCACATGTCTTTGATTTCCCTGACCTTAATCGTTTTCTCAATGTAAGTCCAACATCTCGATATCAGATTCAGCAAGATCAGCCTCTGATGTAACAGAACAGCCTTAAAGGGATAGTCCACCCAAAAATTTCAACATTTATTCACTGTCATGATGTTCCAAACCTGTACGACTGTACGACTATGTGAAACACAAAAGAAGATATTTAAAAAAATGTTGGTAACCAAATGGTTTCGGGTCAAATTGCCTTCCATTGTATGGACAAAAAAATACAATGAGACCCAAAACTGTTTGGTTACTAACATCCTTCAAAATAAAGTAACTCATACAGATTTGGAATGACATGACGGTGAGTAAATGATAACAGCATTTTCATTTTATGGCGGACTATCTCTTTAAAGATAGATTAAATCAATTCACTCCTGAATGAAAATTTCCTGATAATTTACTCACCCCCATGTCATCCAAGATGTTCATGTCTTTCTTTCTTCAGTCAAAAAGAAATTAAGGTTTTTAGGAAAACATTCCGAGATTTCAATGGTTGAAGGTCCAAATTGAAGTTTCAATGCAGCTTCAAAGGGCTCTACATGATCCCAGCCGAGCCTTGTCTTATCTAGCGAAACAATCGGTCATTTTCTAAATAAATAAAAATGTATATACTTTATGTATATAATCTCAAATGCTATTCTTGCACTAGCTCCGTGATGCGCATCCACAAATTCACACATTACATAATCACATTGGAAAGGTCATGCGCAGTTAGCTCTTTGTCTGTGTGCTCCGGTTCAAAAAGGTTGGGTAGGGTGGAAAAACTCCATCTCATTTTCTCCTCCAACTTCAAAATCATCTGACATCCTTGTTTTACCTTTTTTTGTAAAGGTCGTTTGACTTTCCTTGCATGTTTGCTTTGTAAACACAGGGTCTGTATTTCCGCTTATGTCACGCGAGACCTTTCCAACGTGATTACGTAATGCGTGAAGTTGTGGATGCAGAGCTAGTACAAGATGAGCATTTGTGGTTAAAAAGTATATACATTTAAATTTTTTCAAATAAAATGACGATCATTTTGCAAGATAAGACGCTTATTCCTCGGCTGGGATCGTGTAGAGCCCTTTGAAGCTGCATCGAAACTGCAATTTGGACCTTCAGCCCGTTGATCCCCATTGAAGTCCACTATATAGGAAAAAAAATCCTGGAATGTTTTCTCGAAAACCTTAATTTCTTTTCGACTGAAGAAAGAAAGACATGAACATCTTGGATGACATAGGGGTGATTAAATTATCAGGAAATTTTTATTCTGGAGTGAACTAATCCTTTCAATTTTGGCAAATATAGTACAGTAAAGCTCAATTTCAGCATAAATGAGAGTAATCTTGATAGCAATGATAAATTCCTCTGATGAACTGTATGACTTTCATTGCTAATTTCACTGATGCAATGAGCTTACTCTGTCTCTCTTTGTTCACAGCGGACTCTACAGGTCCTTCTTCCCTTTTTGGCAGCCAAGGCCAGTCCTACAGCTTCTGCCCTGATCCGCACTATTGCCAAGCAACTGAATGTCAACCGCAGAGAAATGCTCATCAATAACTTCAAATATATATTCTCCCATCTTGTGTGTTCCTGTACCAAGGAGGAGCTGGAGAGAGCCTTTCACTACCTTAAGGTGGGATATTCACATTATGAAATCAGGAGATGAGCAGTAAGGAAAAAGACAAAGAGAAAGAGGATGGTTACAAAAAAAGTGTATATATATATATATATATATATAAAAAATTTACTCTATTATGGCTT